TAATGGTTTTGTATCAAAATACTTTTCAATATCGAGATCGGCAAGACAAGGTTGTCCTATTGCTCCATTGCTTTATGTTCTTCAAATAGAGCCTATGGCCTGCGCAATAAGGCAAAATCCGCAGATAAAGGGTATTTTAATTCCAAATAAACATCAACACATAGAATGCAAAATAAATATGTTCGCAGACGATACTCAGCTATTCAATAAGGACGAAGAATCTATAATAAATTTCTTCAATGTGTTAGAAATATATGAAAAAGCCTCAGGGGCGAAAATCAATTTCTCAAAAACAAAGGGTCTATTTATTGGCAAATCAAAAGGTAAAACACCAAAATTTAAAAAGATACAGTGGATAAAAACTAATATGAAAACTTTGGGGGTGTATCATGGATATGGTATTGACACTAATGCAATTTGGTTAGAAAAAATAGAAAAAATAATGAACAGCTTGCATGTCTGGAAAACTAGGAACCTTACATTCAAAGGGAAAACTTTGATAATAAAAAATTTAATAATTCCAATTATTGGCTATGAAATCGAAATGAGGGGAATACCGGATATATATGCAAAACAAATAAATGATATTGTCTGGTCTTTTATTTGGGATAATAAATTGAATAAAATTGACAGAAATGTGTGCTGCTTAGGCAAGAATGAAGGAGGGATGAACATGATAAATATCTTTAACTATATAAAAAGTAAACAAATAAAAACAATTTATAAAATCATGCATTCAAAGTTAGAAACATGGAATGCTATTGGTAAATACTGGTTACAGAGTAAAGATATGCATTCAAGTCAGGAATATTTTTTATGCACTTGTTCAGATTTATCTCCAATTTCCTTAAATAACATGTCTAGTTTTTATAAAAAAGCACTCATCGCATATAGCGAATTTCAGTCAAAATTCGAGCCAGAGAACCGAGAGGAAATACTCAACCTCTCACTATTTGGTAATAAACTTATTCAATTCCGAGGGAAAGGCCTATATGTGGAATCATTTATCAAAAGCGGTTTATTAAAAATTAAAGACATTTGGAATGAAGCGGAAAATTGTTTTAAAAATAATGACACCATTTTTAATAAATTATTAGACAAAAGATGTTGGATATTTGAATATAGTAAAATAAAATCAGCCATTCCTAAACTATTTTATCCAATACTGAAAAGAAATAACTCAATATCTAATAGCGAAACAAAACTCCCTTATAAATTGAATAATAATTTACTCATAAAAAGAGATACGAATAAAGTGGTAACATATGAAGATATTAAGTTAAAGAACATAGAAAAACTATTAAACAAGACACTAATTCCAAAATGTCAAGAAAAATGGGAAAATATATATCAAAATAACATACAGTGGAACTTAGTTTGGGACAGTATTTCAAAACTGAAAGTTAAAAATAAAATTCAAGAATTCCAATGGAAATGCGTGCATAATATTTTGTACACCGAAGATAAATTATGTAAAATCGGACTATCCAATGGTTTATGCAACTTGTGTAAAAATCAGAAAGAAAATCAACAACACCTCTTTTACCATTGCACAAAAGTGAAAACAACACTCAAATTACTAGAAGATATAATTAAAAATGTGCTACAAATAAATGGAACTTTACAAATTGACCAACAAACAATAATATTAGGATACTTGAAGGAACCGCAAACCCAAAGAACCGTTGTTAACATCTTGATATGTATCTTTAAATGGGTCATATGGAAAACAAGAAATAAAATTAAATATGAGAATATAAAAATAACTGACTTTAGTATTAAAAATGCATTCAAAAATGAAATGAAATCGAATTTTTTACAATTACAATCACATGATTTGACAAATTTCAAAATGAAACTAAATCATATGTTTCAAACTTCCCTCTAATACTAGGTATAGTATTAATGACAGTATTAATTCTGTAAATGGCAGTATCCGATGCCGTGATAAACTATAAACATGTATATAATAGTACATGTATTCACATTTTTTAATCCACTATAAGGCACACAATTTTTTTTTTACTATGTCATTTTTCATGTAATTGGAAACTTTATGTTTAAAGTATGTTCAAGATGAATATCATAAAATGAAGATGTAAAGCCAGATCAAACTATATACATGTATGTGAGGAAAAAATATTCATGTCTTTGTAAAATTCATTCATTGTGATATGTTTTTTTTTACAATCTAATTTTATTATCACAAAACTCTACATATTGTTTATAAGCTGTAAAACATAAAAAGACCCGTATTTGAGGGTGACCTGGCCCTAAATACTAGTTACAGTGAGATTGATATAGACTTTTTTTCTTTTTTTTTTCCACACTATCTCCACTGCAACAAGGGTCATTCTTCGGTTGGTGTTAAACGTATACTTTGTTATCATATGTATAAAAATAATGCTTATATGCTTTGAGATATTTATGTATATGTACGTAAATGAAGTCAATAATCATATAATAGTATAATGGTATACTTTAATAGCAATATAAAAATGGTTCCAATTTGATTGAGATGTTTAAGTATATGTACATGTATTAAAATGAAACGTCAATAATAATATGTATTAGTATAATATGAAAAAATTCTGTTTTCAAATATTGGAGATACATTATATAATATTATATCGATCCAGGGAGCTCCTGGCACCCCTGGTGTGGTATTACTAGAGGGCTTCTGCGGAAGTCTTGCCTCCTTGTTATATTGTACATTATTGAATAAATGATTTTGAAAAGGAAAAAAAAAAAAAAAAAAAAAAAAAAACCGGTCCTTCGTATGAGACCGTATAAACCGAGGCCCTGTACCGGGATAGGTGCTAGCATGAAAAAGATCACTCATTGATCAATGGCCCTGAGTGTCGAGTATAGGACAAAATTTGTAGCCCTCCACCAGCAAGTGGTGGCGTCTCCATATGAGTTAATTCTCGAGAGGGACGTTAAACAATATACAATCAATAAATCATATATACACAACTCAAATTACAACATATTTCAATATATAAAACTAGTAGCATTTATTACACTTATGTGAAATACATGAATCTTTATGAGTATGTTCAGAATGTTTTTAAAAAACATGATTAATTTCGAAAAAAATGCTTTGCACACAAATACTTCATGTTATAAAACATATTCCTTATATTAATTATGAGAAACAAGTTTTAATAACAAATGTTAATCCTATATTTTGAGCACAATGTATATATTCTGCAATTTTGAGATTGTAAATAAATGTTTGAAGATATGTTGCGTTTTAATTATAAATATAACTGTCACGTTCATATTTTACTACATTTAAACATATACATGTATCATACATTGTTGTGATTTGTCATTATTGAGAAGCATACATTTGTCACCTTTTGCTTATTTTCAAATATTTACATTTGCAGATGTTTCCTATATATATGATACCGAAAGCAATACGTATCTATAACTGTATAATTCCAATCTTAATTCTATTTATTTATTCCCTGTGTTCTGATTGGATGAGAACAAATTCAAGAAAAAGTTTACACATCGATGAATTTTTCAATCAGAACTACCCTTGACCTATCTTCAAGGTTGTTGTAATAACAATGAAAACAGATTCTTCTAGTCCGTTTTACCTAAATTATGATTACAAGAAACTTAAAATAACAAAAAAGCAAAACAGGAGATAAACAAGACTGACAGACGGGAATATTATGTTTATGTCACTGTTGGATCACGAGTGTGAATTTTAAAAATCGCTGATCATGCTGTCATTTTCTCGACGTTCCATATCAGCTCAGTTGGTATCGTTGTGATAGGTAAAAGAAACGTACATCAGACTTGCCTTATCAGCATTAATTTTATATATTTACATCCTACAGATCCCATATTCTCCCTAAATCTTTGATCGAACCAGAGCAATTCGAGGACGTCGTCTGTGTGCAACTTTCGCTATGAGCGTTGTCATTAATATCGACGTGGCTATGGTCAAGGACGAATTATTCTGGAGAATACGCGTATTTACGATATTTGTTGACTTAAACAACGTTCAATGAGTTTTTATAAGTTTATTTATTAATTGTTTTGACAATTTAAGTTGGATTTTATCTATATTGATCTTGTATACGTTTCTTTGCGGCATAATGTATTCCTACGCCGTACAAAATAACGGATCGTATGGCGGCTTCAAAGAGAAATAATTTTAATCATTTTAAAAATTCGTAATTGGAAATATAGGAATTAAACGTCATTTTTTCAGAATTTATCGATGTGTAAACTCTGCCTGGATAAACGTTCAACGTAATTTATCAGTTACGTCATAAAGGATCGACGCGTGCTCAGTGGATTACATACATACCGTTGGGTTTGAAAAATAATGCATTTCACACGTTAAAAGTAACATTTACCAGGCATTTAAGTATGAATAAGTCACAAATTTAAATATAAGTAATAAGGTATCATTTTAAAACATCTATCGAGCTATAAATACGGGTTGCTACGAGATAAAATTCATCAAAGCAATTCGGGCTTCAGTGAATAAAATCTAGTGACCATCCGTAATTTATATCCCGATAGATGTTTCAAAATGATATCTTATTTCTTAAATTATTTCTTAAATGAAACATTTTAAAATAATTCATTGGGGTTTGATATATTGTTTAAAAAATTTCTGAAAATGTTGACAAATTTTCAAAAACAAACTCTTGTTTGGATTTTCCTTCTTTTTAGATTCTAAATCACTGACACACAATGTGAATATATGATTTATGTACATGTATCATACAGTGGAGCAATGCCTTCGTTGTTAATTCAACATTCATGAATTACCCACATCATTACCCACATGATAATCATTACTCCGTATTTATTATAATTAATTTTTTTTTAATTTATATTAGTCTTAGTATATTATCAAATGACCTTAAATACCTTGCATACGAAAGGTTTATTATATTCTTATTCAGTACTATTATCAAATTGAATGTTATTAGAGATGACGATGATGATGATGGTTACTAGTAATATTAAATAGAATATCTTCTAATTTTTTTCTTCATTTCTTTCATCACATATTGGGATTTACGCAGAGATTCTTCAATTTTAGCAATTAATCGTCTCTGCCAACGCTGAGGTGCTTTACTTTCAGTAATTAAATGTCTTTGCCTACTAAGAGATGCTTTAATTTCAGGTATCAATCTTCTTAATCGTTCTAAAGCGGACACACCCATTCTATCCACCGCAGAGTTATATTCTCTGTACTTCAACCTCAAGCTGGTATCTGCCCCAGCTTTCAGTAGAAGACTCACGTTTTCCAATAGATCGTCATATTTATTGTATTCATGATCAATGATTGTGAACAGTAACGGTTTGACGACCGGTTCTCTCCATATCTTGATATCTTGATTACAATCAAGACTTACACAAAGCAAATGTTTTAAAATATCGGTTTTAAATATTTCTTTTTCCTCCCATTCGAATTTCACATCCCAGACTGGTGTTTTTGTGAACACAACGTCATCCTTACAGTCAGTTTTAAGGTTCGCTTGCCGAATACCTACAAGAATGTTAAACAAATGCAAATTTACTTTTTTAATCTGTTGTCTACTCCCTGTCTGTTTAAAGAGTTTTAAAGGGTGTTTCTTGTTTAAAATCAGTGCAACATACAAAGGCGACAGACCAGTTTTCACACAGAGTGTACAATCAGCGCCGTTTTCAAGAAGCATTATTATGATTGGTGAATAGATTGATGCAAGCTTGTCATTTACTGCAATATACAGTGGAGTCTCCCCTTCCTTGTTCTGTAAATTAGTGTTAGCTCCAGCTTCAAGTAGCTCTTCTACAACAGTTTTTTTTTATATCTACATGCAGCTGTAAGTGGTGTTTCTTCTCGAAGATACAGTTCTCCAGATTCCACTTTCAGAGGCTTCCCTATCTGTTCTAAGAAACAATAATCTAGCGATAGACGTCTATATTTACCATTAAGATTTACATCAGCACCCTCTTCTAGTAATATTCTTACTACACTTAGATATCCATTCGCACACGCTGCAATCAATGGTGTTTCGGATAATGTGTTTGGATTAACAACGGACTTTGCATTTAATAGCTCTCTGACGATTTCTATGTTTCCTATCTTACAAGCAAATACCAAAGGGGATTCGTATTTTTCAATTTTCTGAATTTTTTTATACAAAGGATTGCACATGTCCCTACAATTAAACAGAAATTTTCTTGTAACTTTACATTCAACCATTTTTTGTCTAGGATTCACTTCCGCTTTGAAATTTATTAACTCTTTTACAACACTAGCATGACCACTTATGCATGCTGCTATCAATGGAGTTACATGTTCACTTTCTAAATTGACATCTGCTTCAAATTTGCACAACTCCTTTACAACACTCAAATGTCCATTAACACAAGCTGCAGTCAGAGGCGTATGAAAATGACCTTCTATATTGACATCAGCCCCTATCCCTATCAACTCCTTTACTACAGACACATGACCAAATAAACATGCTGCTGTCAGTGGCGGAACCTGTCTACATAAAACACCACTATTATAGTGGTGCTGCGATGTCTTGTTGATTGAAGACGTGTCAACATGTTGAAGTAAGATTCGAACTGTCTCAACATCTCCACCGTAACAACCTAGTACGAGGAGGCGATTTTTTTCTATCGCTGAGATTTCATTCTCTAGAAAGTCATATCTTTTTTTGTTTTTTCGTACAGACGATACCTGTTTCGTTGTCTGGCTAAAACCTCCAGGATCTCCAAATAGTACAGACGATGTTTCTTTGTGTAGTTCAGTTTGATTGACTATGTACTTTAAAATTAGATGATGTCCATAGAAAATTACCCATCTGATCACTCGTACAGTGCATGTTTCTTTATATAGTTCATCCATCAGTAGTTTTTCTATATTTTTTTCAATTCTGTGTTCTTTTCCCTTATCGTTCCCGCCCATTGCGGTGAAAAGTTTTCCCTTAATAACATTTTTTGATACTTTGTTTTTTTATATAGAAAGACAGATTTTAATTTTGTATAAGACTTCTTTTCTAACAGACCACAAAACATTTTACAAAACATTTGGTCCTTCAAAGCATCATTCATAAACACATCATGCAATTCCATATCCTTTATATCCCTGTACAATCTCTCAGCCAGCATCTGGTACTTACTAGGCGGAATCCGAACACACAGATCTAAAACCTCATTGTCTTCAGCGCTTTCATCGATATGTTCACCGATCTCAGTATTTTCCTTACTGATTGCACCAAAAGTATGTGTTCTTTCGCCAGTGCATGAATTACATACACTTATGGTTTTGTCGATGATTTTACATTTTTTTGGTGCTGTATATGTCTGGAGTTTCACGTTATTTGCAACATAACTACTTTTCATGTATCGTACATTCAGTTCCGGAAACTGTCTACCAAAATGATACGCAGTTATTTCAAACATTGAATCATGAACAAAAGTGAACTCCTTATCTCGACGTTTTGTGTATGTCCCCTCCATTGCTGACAATGTTTTTAAAACCTTAAACGTATCTGTGGTACTATCAACTTCACAGCTTTTTAAAACATTGAGTTTCTTTTCCTGAAATTCATTTTGCTTGTCATTTAGAATGTCTTCAGATATCATATTGTTATTTAATGCACATAGCACTAATGATGCATAGAATAAATTATTTCTCTGTTGCATTTTATCAAATTCTTCCAGAATGCATTTGATAGGACTTATAAAAAACTCTACACCATTGGCTTTGAATTTCTTTTCTTTTGAATACAACTTGCACAAGAGTGGAAACATTCGAGAGGATTCTGTAAGCAATGCAGGAGACAACAAATCTCTGTCTAACCCATGTATCGCGAGAATATTTCTTCGGTCATCCTCACTCAAAGCATTTTCTAAGCTGTGAAGCTTAATGACATTTTGTTCATTGGTGAAAAATGATTTGTGACATTGATTAAAAAGTGTTTCTCTACATGTCATCAGAACTTTTGTTTTCTCAAATGACGGTTCTGTAAGTTTTTGCTCATAGTCTAGAAAGGATTCTAGTTTTGCTTTTTGCACACCCAATACACCTACCACATCATTAATAACAAACACCTGTGGATTGTGAGGATCACAATACTGAGTTAGATCTCTTAAGTCCAACACAGGTACCACTTCGTATCCTTCCGTCTGCAATATTAGAGAGATGTGCTGAGCTGTGGCGGATTTACCAGATCCCGGAACACCAACAAACGTCACATAAGACTGTTCTCTTACCCTCTGAAGCATTTCAAGAAACCCATGAGTTTCCAGAAAAACCGAATCTTCTTCTCTCCATTTCCTAATATATTCCTTCTCGTGTTGAGCTTATAAAATAAAATGATTTATTATAAAATACCTGTGTTGAGTTAATCTATATATTTTAAATTTCTCTCTCTGTACTTCTCTATTACATTGATAAACAACTTAAACTTCATTTGGTCTTTGATCATGATGATTTCTAAATTCTAGTATATGTACATAGCTTTTGCAATATATGTATATTTTGTTCAGACTCGTAGATAAAAAGGTATGAAAGCATTTGAGTCCCATTCTTAACTTTAAAAGCTAGTTTCAACAAAGAGGTACAGTAAGTTAATTTAATGTTACTTAACATCGAAGTAACAGGTAGAAGATTTGTCTTAGCTAGAAATGATAGAATGATAGAATGATTTGAAACATCAACCCTTTAAACAGTTTCTTTCACAACACTCTTTGGTCAGAATGAATTATATTATCATAGAAAGGCATGCAATAACATACCTTTAACATGCACTGGGATTACACAGTGGAGTTTTTTCATGTCATCTGAAATATCAAGTCAATTATTATAAAACAAAGAAATTAATGATTCCTGTATGAATAATTATGTGTGAGAGTGTTTTTCTCTCTTTCGAATTTTAGAAATAACATCACAGTCAAATTTTAGTGGTGATTAAGTCAAAAATTATAACGTGCGTGCAAAATAAACCAGCTCACAATTCCATCACCAATTCTTACCTGCAAGGTTTTCAACGGTCGTTTGTAATTCGTCAATAACTAAAAGTTTGTCTATGTACTTTTTCTCCAAATCAGGATCCATTGAGCACGTTTTGATTTCGTTAACAGAGTCCTGAAGGGCAGTGGCTGTTCCAAGGTAATTCTCTAACTCTACAATTATATCATGAATATTCCTCCATTCTTGTCTAAAATCGGACTCCGTTAGAGAGAAATCCGACGTGTGTCCATAGTATTTGTTCCTGGTCAGCCGAATCCTTTCAATATTAGCAGACACACTTCTATCTCCGGGGTGAGGCTGATTTCCCCATCCCGCCGTATTATGTAATATTGCTCACGTTCCGTAAAAGGAGATATAGAATCGTGATGTCAAAGTCTGAGTAATTTCCGCCATATTGTTTTGAAGGAGGCGGGAAAATGAGATCAGCTTGTTGTCTTGAAAGAGGATTTTTTGCGATCTGGTTCTTAAGGCGATCTACCCAGGTTCTAACCTTCCTTGATAAAGTAGAGGGAGGAATTTCCTTTCTGAGAATGTCACGTAACACATCTGTACACGGACCGAGGATAAGTCTGGCGACACGTGCCAGGTTTGTTGTCTCCCTTGTAGACGTGTATTTTGATAGAGACATCGTAGATCTTTACCAATGTACCTGGAAACAAAAAAAATAATAGATCTTTACTATTGTACCGCCTCTTTTGATTGAGACATTCTTTAAATTTCCAATAATCTTCATCTCCACCTAGCTAGAGCAAAGACACGACAGGTATCAATACAGAGTCAAAAAAACTTTGAGCTTTTAAAAAAAGCTAACATATGGAGGTACAAACAGCATTCAAAGTCAAAAGTCCATCCAACGATTCAAGAAACACTGTAGGAGCAAAGAAAACAAGGACCTCTAAAACACTAGAGGTACGAATCAGGTGCAATGGAGGATTTAATGAGCATCCACTTCCGACCAGTCACACCCGGTGTGTGCTCCTTGTCATGATTGGGAAATAACGAAAATAAAATAACGTTGTCAATCTAGTGTATAAATAATGGAATTACTTTTAGAACAAAAAACGTCAGTCATCATTTTACTTTATGAACAATTGTATTTGCTGACAATGTCATTTCACCGATATTTCAAAATGTTAACTTTAAACAAGTCTGCTGATATTCATAGAGCATGCTCTTGCAAATTTATGAGATATATATAGACGCCGTATGCAGATGATATATATTGCTGCATAAGTAAGGGAAGTTAAACGATTATAAAGAAATGAGGAAAATTATGATGCTGACATCCTCGTTCATGAACTTGTTTGTCGATAGTTTGTAGATAGAATATCTTGTTTTATAAATTGTTCGTGCATAGAGAATGCTCATCAATTCAACTAGGAGCCAAAACATCAGAATTGTGATAAGGTGCATCCCCTGCCAATTAGTCACACTCAGCGTCTGTGGATTGTCATGAACGGAAAGTGACGGGAAAATCCATCGACAAATCGGTATCTAAATAATGACCTAACAAGAATGAAATTAAAACGTCATTAAGCATATAACCTGTTTTATTTGTTTTTTATGAAAATGATTAATATTGTAAGCTTAAAATTTACTTTGTAGTGGTAGTCATGGAAACATTTTTGATTGAACGGAGATATATAGCTTGAAGTGTGTTTTAACAAAAACGCGCTGTAGTCATCAGCTTGATATTATGACGTATACATGTATTTTTAAGGGGTAAACTGTATTAAAGTAAGGTTTAAAAACTACCGTTTCAAGTGTAATTGAATTCAGTGCACGGTTTGAAATCATGTATGGCACATAACAGTTCGATTAATTGTCTAAAAAATCAATAATGTTATAGGACATAAAGAGTTTAAAACGATATCGATCAGTTCAAGTTTTTTGTCACTCATAATGTTGACAGAAATCGGAATGTTTATATACTGATTATTTTTTTTCTTAATAATAGATAAATTTCTCATACTTGAATGTTCTAATTAATTATTTTAAACACATGCATTGTGGAGATTTTTGTTAAATCACAATTTACTAGTGCCCTAGATTTTCACAACAAAAACCATGAAATGTTAAATTGGTAGTAATAACTTAGAATAATTTGCTAGATCAAAATGTTTAAAACCTTTATTTTGAATTTTATTTTATGCGACGTATCAGACATTGATTTCTATTTACTTGTTTAGGGGTAGTGATATGAATTTAATATAGTGGATAAAGTATTTTACATATATTTTAATGAATTTAATCGATACCCGAGAAACACAATATGAACTCATTGTCATTAGGCAGCTTTTAAAAAAGTTATTTTAACTATTTTGATGGTATACAATAAAAAGCATAATCAATAAAAATATTTACCTGTTAGGTAAGTTGATTCTTGATATTTAATTCCAACGAAACAGTTTTGTTTTCGTTTTCAACATTTTGTCCTTATAAACGCCCTGCGAATCTCCATTTTGTAAACACTATTACCTGCTTTTTTCTAGCTATGAATTGACAAATCGCGTTTGTGAATTTCCGCCATTTTTAAAGGCTGGAAAACTGCTTTTAAAAAGGTATGCATGGCAGATTTTTCACATGAAACTTCTTAATGGATAATATTTCATTGAACCGACTTGTACTGATTTTAATTTTTCAGTGATCTATCCTTACACCAATAAACATGGCACTTCTTTTTAAACGAAATGTGCCCGATAGCTTTGTAAAATCTATTGTTTTAAACATATACACAGGAATATCTATTAAACTACACAGGGAATATAATAATTAGTTACATTTCCTTACAGTCCTTACTTTAGGATGTGAGGGGGTTGGTGGTTTTATGGTCGAAAATTTTTTATGTAAAGGTAAGAATGGCGGGTACTGTTGATTATAAATTACTTGAGGTTTGTTGTTATTGTCTTACTAAATGTGCACAAGTTCTTCCACAGGTTAAAGCGTTTGGAAGTTGTTAAAGTTTTTACGAAAATACGGAAGATAGAAAGACGCAGTGATTCTCTCAGCTGATTCGATACGCAAGACCATGCTCTCCGCATGAACAATTTCTAAAACTAGGTAAATTATTGACAAGCAAGTTGATGAAACAAATATATCAGTAGTCTCGTTTATAGTCACCATATCGCAAGTTCTTTGGGCGATACAATGATCTTTATATATCGACTATTTTATCATTGAGTCAAATTAAATGCTGACTGACGTTTTTCATACGAACGGTTATTGTATTATTTACACACTGAATTGACGACGGATTCTCCGTTCTATATCATATTCGTAGTAGTGTATCAGCCTTGATACAGGCGTTTTGGACTAGCGAGACAGGGCCTTAGAAGTAGGGCTGTCTCGCCCTCGGGGCTGAGATATCTCTGTCTCGGCCCGTCGTCAAGGGGCTGTCTCGCCCTCAAATGTCAAATTATTATTTCTGTTTTATTTGTGTGAATTAAGAGTAAAGTTCATATTTAAGTATTAAAGAGAAACATTATATATCGAAAAATTTCACAATTAAGAATCTTTAAAAAATATTTATTTATGTTATAATTTTGATAAAAATTGTTTTTAGAATATGCGCCAAATGATAGCACTTGTGACGTAAGAGAGGTAACTCTTGTTTACTTCTATGACAGCAACAAATCATGTTTTGAAAAAATGGGCGTTTATTTGCTCTGACAGCATGAAAATACGAAGTTTTTATGTAATTTCCCATTTTTGTATTTAATATTTATCGTAAACAAAACAAACAGTTACTTTAAATCTCAGATTTACAAATTGTAACGATTTGTTGAAGAAGTTGTAACCCCGGTTCGATTCAAAGTGAAAGTAGAATATTTTTTAAGTTTTTGAGCTTTTAAAATCGAACAACATCTCCAAGAAACATCGAAATAAAGAAAGATAACTCTAATTTTGTTACGACAAAATTATATAAATATTTTAATTGAAAAATATCAAAATATTTTTTCTTTTCTTTGGTTTTAGATGTATGATATAAACAACTTCATACCACTGTTTTGATCTCGTGCCTGGTATCAGCCCTCGGATGCTCTCGACCCGCGCCCTCCGGGCTTGGGCCGATACCAACCGCTCGGGCTGATTCCAGGGCCGAGATCAAAACAGCAGTGTGATATTCTGTATTTCCCGACCATGACAAGGAGCACACGGCGGGTGTGGCCGGTCAGAAGGCAATGCTCACTCCTCCATGGCACCGAATCTCACCTCTGATGTTTAAGAGGTCTGTGTTTGCTCTGCTCCTATTTTGTATTCATTTATGGACTTTGATATTGAATACTGTTTGTTATCTCCATTCACATCCTTCATTTGTCAACATTGTATTTAACACATGGAAATAAAACAAATTCAATGCAAACATTACAGTTAGAGTTATGGTACACATAAACTTTACCTCATTTTTTAATGAGCCGGGGTCTTTAATTGTAAAGAGCACTGTTGCAACCACTTTTAAAATAACAACCACTATTGAAATAATTATTTCAATAGTGGATGAAAGTGCATTCCAATAACAAGCATAGTATGCAATTACTATTGAAATAGTTATTTCAAAAGTGGTCGAATTTCAATAGTGGTTGCATACTATGTTTGTTATTGAAATGCACTCTCAACCACTGTTGAACTAATTGTTTCAATAGTGGTTCTTAATTTCAATAGTGGTTGCAAAAGAGCGCCAACAACTTTAGCTATTTTGTTCATTTTCTTGGTAGACTTAATATTAATTGTGCTATTAAGAATTCCGTAGGTTTTCATTCGTCTAAGTGCAAGCTAGACATAAATTTAAATTCTAATTGAGGTAATTCCGCGAGACTCGATATCCTCTTTCTCAGTTAATTGTTTTCTACCCCTTACATTCAAATTAACATGAAGAACAAACACTTCTTCACCAATTGCAAATCCCCTATCTGCCATTACTTCATCAATTAATTGGATGTGAGTAATCGTAGAATCATGATTTTTTTGTGATAAATGTAATTTTACTGAAAGTGTTAAATTGTAAGCATGATCATTCAAAACATCTACAGCCTGTGTTTCTACATTTGATTGAGATTTGTAGAAGACGCAGACTCCCTGTTGATGACATGTTGTGTCTGAGTAAAGGCTGAGGTATTCGTGGTATGAACTAGTGCATCTAAAAGCGGAACTTTTACTACACTGCTCTCTGCAGCAGATCCAAAACTTTCCTCTTCATCCTGAGATTCTCATGTATTTTCTTTTCCAGCATCTGATGTCTCACAGTTTTGCTTAAATTTACAACCCTACACATTAATGAAATATTATTGAAAAGTCACCGACCATTGAATACTCCAGTGGTGACCAGCAGCATCTTGAAAAATGTAAAAGAAAATTGGAATGCAATGTCATCCAATCGTTATTCTGGTCAGCATACAATTACTGGTGATGAGGAATGACAATCCATTATATTATATAAGAAGATTATTTTCGTAATTTTCATTGGCTCAAAGGACGTCAAGTGATATTCCTCCTTTTGTGATAACGACGCGAAAGCGCGTCGGCGGAAAATGATAACGCAACACACAGCGTTTGGTTGCACTGAAGTTACGTAAAACGTGACGTCATAGTATGAGAAGCGTGTTTTTAACCATTGTGACGTAATGACAGCCAAGTCTGTTTAATTAGGACTGTGTTAGTGCATTCACATTGAGTGATTATATAATATAACTATTATGGACTTCAGGGAACGGTCAATATGTGGTTATAAGGACTCATGGCAATTGATATTGACCTCAGACACAGAAAATGATAGCGACCTCGCAGGCTCGGTCGCTATCACTTTCTGTGTCTTCGGTCAATATCAATTGCCATGAGTCTTTATAACCACATATCAACCTACACTGAGGTCCATAATTATATAATAATTGTTTGTAATTGCAAACATTATACCCTTGTTCAGAAAATTTAAATATAAATATTACACAAATCTGGAGTAAAGTCTTATTGAACACGGACCCCGACTAAACTGATTTTATAGATTTGTACTGCTGATATCCTGTTTATTATTTGTACATGTTGGTATCATTTTGCCACAAACATATGAACTGAATTATTTTCATGTCAAAAATGTTTACTTAATTGTTTTTCATGTGTGGTGATAAATATATATAGTAGTTTATTAATGTAAACTGACAAAGAGAAAATTATATTTAATGTTGTACTGCACCTTTGATTAGTGTTATTTTTTGTGCACAATTAGAAGTTGATTGTTTCATTTTTTTCTTAACTCGTCAATAAAAATTTTAAAAAAGTATTTATATTTTTGAAGAATAAAACTTTGTGTAATAAAACATTGTAAAGCCTGGATTTTAAGAGATTTTAAAATGGAAGTCAGTATAATGGAATATATGTCATGGAAATATAATGGATAATATAATGGACGTTTTCTGTTTTAATAACACTCTACTTTACATCTGTAAGTTAAATATTTAACTTTGATGCATTTTAGATATTTTTTATATCTTGTCAGCAAATACAATTTATCACTGAGTCAAATGCTGACTGACGTTTTTCATACAAATTGTTAGTCCATTATTTATACACTGAACTGACGACGGATTTTTTCCGTTATTTCCTGATCATGACAAGGAGCACAGGGCGGGTGTGACCGGTCGGCAAGTGATGCACACTCCTCCATGTCACCTGATCCCACCTCTGATGTTTCGGGGGTCCGTGTTTGTTCTGCTCTTATTTTGTATTGTTTTATGGACTTTGAGATTGAATACTGTTCCATATCCTTCTTAAATCTCATTTGCTTTATTTCAAAGATTGTGTACTCGTTGTTGATAGAACTGAATTGTGTTTTATACATTTTTTGCTTTCAAGACGTAATTGTATTTTATACTTAGCACTTAAGGGGGCCGACTATAGTTTTCATTGCGCAATATTACGCACATCATAGTAAAATGAAGCGTATTTACCGTTTTAATGTAATGTAATTACAATTTGAAATAACTGATTTTTTATGCGATTTTGCAATGGATAGGTAGGTTGAGTTGCAGTGTGTTTGTGACGGTATGATAATCTGTAGCTCTTAAAGAACGGGGTAATAAAAATATCATTAAAGAAAAGGTAATAAAACATACACTCTTGAAATTTAAAACATAGAGATTTGAGAATATCTTTAATATTTATATTATGTTTTCATGTGAATCCATTGCGTACGTCATGTTTGGTTATACTCTTTAAAAATAGTAACATTTGCTAATCTTTTGCATTTTGAGACACCCCTCTGGTTACAAAACGGTAGAATTTTGTGTTTTTTTAATATATATTATATAATATAGTATTACTCATCAAATATTATAGTTTGAACAAAATACCTATTGTAGTATTTGTATAATTTGCTTTAAAGTGCTAAAAATTGACAACTTCCTATATAATCCTATAGTTAATCTACCTGTATTTTGAGACAGTCCCTCAAAAATACCTGGACGGTAGATTTCCCCCAAACTTTGCATGTACACTGAAGTTAATGCACGTTACATATAATATAAAGATGAAGAGTTTCTCTATTGTAGTTTTCACACAATAAAACTATAGTCTGCCCCCTTAAATCATATGACGTCTTTTGTGATGACGTCACAAGTGATGAATAATGCTTTTGGTTGTGTTTGTGTTTTTGTAGACATTTTACCTTGACCAAACATCTTTTTCAATAAATTGTCACAATTACCTAAAGTTTGCTTTCTATGGACTAAGATATCTCTCCGAATATTGATATAAAAACCCCATATTTTCAAGGTTGGCAAATGAACCTTATGCTGGAGCATCCTCAGATGGTGTAAATTCAAATTTGTCGATTCACATTTTCTACACAAAAGACTGCTACCTCAAAATATCAGCTTCATAGTGACTCAGTTAAGCAAGGTGGTCTATTATAGACCCTTTGTACAATGTCCTCCAAGACATATAATTATTGCATTCTCCATCGTAATCGAGTTCAAAAGTAAGATTTCTTACGCCATATTACCCATTTTTATACTTGTACCAAGACGCCAATGTGTTGTAAATTTCATTTATATACAAAAAAATTATTTCAAAGCCCTATCGAAAAGTTCTTACAGAGTGTATATTAATGTTTAAAAGAATCACAATATCTTTCAGTTTTAACATGTTATTTTATGTTCATATTTTCTTTAAAATATAAGATGAAAATATAAGTACAAGATAATACAGGAAACTTAAATGAAGACACATATGATGTCATTATTTTTATGTCATTATACAGATATAATTGAAAATATTCAGAACATAAATGCAAAAATACTTAAAAAATTTTCTTCAAAAGCAAATATCTTTTACTAATAATTTACATTAATTAAATCATGAAATATATGTATTGTTATTCATAGTCATACCTTGAATTAGAATAGGGACATGCATGTTCTTTAAAAAATAACACCGAAATATTGAACATTATTTCCTATCTAGCTTGTAACACGAGCTTTGATTGGTTACAAAGTCGGTTGTAAATATCCGTGCACCCGACTTGAACCGGATGTAAATAAAACGTGACGTCACAATACATACATTCTCTATTATAAAAGCTTAAAATCATGTTTACAAAGCATTTTTATTGGTACAAAGGAAATAAATTCGTTATCCAGGTCCAATCAAGGGTGTACGGTTATTTACCCCGGGTTGTATTCCATACACCCTTCGGCCTTCGGCCTCAGGGTGTATGGAATAAAACCCGGGGTAAATCCCCGTACACCCTTGATTGAACCTGGATAACTAATATCAATTGTAGAACTTATCGTAAGCAATAAATACGTATGACACAAAACTGTTGTTGTTAATCAAACTTGTATGTCTCTTCACATCAAAAATGGCCATTTTTTTTACTAAATTAAATGCAATGTAGATAATGTACACTTTTTACATATTTGTAGATAATCTATATCTCTAATTAAGACACATAGCCTGACTTTATATTAGTCATCCTAAAACATTTTTTAAAAATAATTTTTCCTCGACTTGTCCTGACTCAGGTTAGAATAATTGGGCCGGTAGGTAGGTGGGAACTTTGTTTTCCTAGAAAACGTCACCAAATTTGGTGACAGGATCAGAGAAATAAAGAAAAGGAAAATATATGGTCTTGGAATACAGGATAAGGTTTCAGTTGGGCACATTTTAGTGAGTAGGTCTTGAGAGATCAATCAAAAACATTTTTTAAGATGATCCAATTTGAATTAACATTTTAAGTAGGAAATGACCATCCAGAAATTAATTACTTGTAGGTCAAATCAAATGGAGTATCTTCTGACATGTCTCTTGATTTCTGTCAAAATCATTTGATACTTGCGTTCCATTATTCTCTTTTCCTTTAAAGGGAAATAGTTTTTAGGGTTTTTGTGCTCACGTAGCTTTTGCCTGGTTCTTTCTAACGCGGTCACACCCTCTTTGTCCACCAACGAGTTATATTCTGTGTATTTGACACTCAAATTCACATCTGCACCGGCTTCAAGTAAAATACATACTATTTTTTCAATTTGTTTGATATCATAAAATAATTTGCCATCAATAATTCTGAACAGAACTGGTTTGATGTCTGACTGATTTGGTTTTTTACGAATTAAAATATTTTGATTGGCATCGAAACCAAAACACAGCAAATGTCTTAATACATCACAGTCAGCACGAAGTAATTTTCCATGCAAGTCCTCTGTCATATCCCAGACTATTTTCTTTGTAAATATAACATCATCTTTACTATCAACAGCTACATTTGCATGTTGAATGTCCTCAAGTATGTCAAGTAAATGCAGATTTACTTTTTTCTGTTGTAGTTTATTTTTAGACTTTTTTAAAGCTTTAAAAACATTTGCCATGTTCTTAAGCAATGCAAGGTATAACGGCGATACTTTAGAATTTGTACAAATTGTACTATCGGCACCTCGTTCGATAAGCATTTTTAAAACAAAGACGTTTGAGTCATCGTTATCTACTGCTTTATACAGCGGTGTCTCCCCTTCATGATTTTTTAAATTGACGCTAGCACCAGCTTCAAGGACCACCTTCACTGTAGTTGCATTACCTCCTCTACATCCTGCCATCAACGGCGTATCACATGACGTGCTTTGATTGATTTTAGCTCCCGCATTTAGAAGTTGTCGTACAATGTCAACATGTCCACGAGAGCATGCGGCGCTCACTGGAGTGCTACATTTACCTTTTAAATTGACATCAGCTCCCGCCTCAATCAGTTCCTTTACAATATCTATATATCCACACTCACATGATATTATCAGTGGCATCCGAACTTCAAGATGTAAATTGATATCAGCTCCAATCTAATTAAAATCAGACTTCTTAGATCCGCGCCGTATACACTCTGCGTAAGAAGATCTGACATAACCCGACCAGGGGTCATGTTCACGTGAACTTTATGACGTGAATATTCATTTAAAAATAAGCCAATCAAATCGTAGCAATCTTCAGTCGTTAGGAAGGTGTTTAAAAATGGCTGACATCGATCGAGCGATTGTAAATATACAACAACAATTAAACATCTCGTTAAAAAATGAACAGAAAGAAATACTGGAGTTGATCCTACAGAAGAAAGACTGCGTTGGTGTATTGCCCACGGGTTTTGGGAAGAGTCTTCCGTATCAGTTGTCCATATTAACAAGACAGGGACTGACGGAATCAGCTGATCGAGTTGGGAAAGTTATCGTGTGTTCTCCACTAGTAGCACTGATGAAGGATCAAGTCCAACGTGTGCACAGACTAACAGGATGTAGAGCCGAGATACTAGGTAATAAACTTTTTGTGTGTGTACAAATAAATTAAATGCATTTTTTTTAATTTGTAACTCTATGCATATATAGCTATAATCCGAGATTCCTCTGACTCTAACCCCCGCTTTTATATTGTGACTTGTGCGGGGAATTCACACACCGATCTCCATTCTCGTAATTTACAATTAAAGAATTCATTTTAAATACGTTTTGATGATAGTATATCAATGATATATAAGAAATAAATATAATTTTTGAAGATGCTGGGGAAGCTCTTAAGATATCTTGTGGGTGAGAGAGTTTATGTGTGTTAGAAAAAAAATAATCATGAATAAAATATATGTTCCCTTGACCCTAGCTGCAGAACTGTAAAAAAAAATTAACTTAAATTATGACACACATCTGTATATACACATATTTTAATCTTATTATTGTAAAAAAAAAAAAAAAAAAAAAACTTTATGTCTTAATTCTCAGATGGTCCCTTAATTGGAAAATAAAATTATTTTTTCCATACATTTGGATTAAACATTTGAATTCCTGATTATTTGCTTGACCTTTCATCAATTTTACACATGAAAACTCATTGAAAAGACTGTGGCAGAAAACAACAAGAAATAAGTTGTATTTTTAAACATATTACAGGCAATGACAAGACAGGTGATTTTGCCATTAGAGATGGTAAAGTGGATTTCATATTTGGATCCCCAGAGACTCTTGTTGGGAACAAAGAGTGGAGGTCTTCGTTGCAGAAACTTCAAGTTGACACCATAGTAGTGGATGAATTTCACACAATAGCAACATGGTAAGTCATATATGTTTACCTAACTTAAATCATGCAGCATATTCCTATGTCCCTGTCAGTGACACATAAACAGAATATGACATGTAAATTGAATAAACAGAGTATGACATGTAATATTTTTCCTTAATCAATTGCCAGACTGTCTAATGTGTGTTACACTGTACATATATTCTTTTCAGGGGTACAGATGAAGACAACCAAAAGAAAGCATTTAGAAAATGGTTTTCTCACATAGGAGAGCTTAGATCTCTATTTCCCAAAGCTTCTGTTGTGGCTCTCAGTGCTACATGCACTCTGAAGATTCAACATAGAGTGATGAAAGTTTTATGTTTGTCACCATCTACCAAGGTGATCAAACTTCCACCAAATCCAACCAGTGTAAAACTCTGTGTCTCCAAGGTGCCTTACAATATAGAACATTCTATGGCATTTCTTGCAGATGCAATCACGGATTCCAATTTTCCGAAAACGCTGATGTACTGTACTTCAATAACAGACTGTGCAGCCATATATAATTATTTGTGCAAAGAACTACCAGACTGTGAAATTGAAATGTACCACTCTGAAACAGAACAGGAAAAAAAGGATTCAATACTTGGATTATTACAGGACCCATCATCTAAATGGAAGCTCATTATAGCGACCAATGCACTGGGCATGGGGATTGATGTTAAAGACTGTCACTCTCTCATCTTATTTGGAGCTCCAAGATTAATCGTGGATTTATTACAGGAGATTGGGAGAGTGGGAAGGGATCAGCAGCCTTCTCTTGCCTTACTACTGCATCATGGACACCATTTGAGTCACGTCGAAACGGAAGTAAAAGAATTTTACAAAGCTGCCACTTGTCGAAGACAGATGTTGATGACCAACTTCTTATCAGAATCCGAGATGAATTCGGTGAAAGTCCAGAGTGGCAACCACACTTGTTGTGACTTGTGTATGAAAGACTGTTCATGTTTAAACTGTACGGATATGTTATATCTGGAGAAGTCTTTCCTTGGGATAAGCATAGACAGTGCCGATAGTGTCGATAGTACAGACTCTGACTCTGATTTCTCTGAAGAGCTGCTTGTAGGTGATGATTATGATGAGTAAAGAATGGAACTCTGAAAGTAATGTTCTCTTGTCTTAGATCTGCAAATTTACCCATGAAGGATATGGAGAAATGAACTGTTTTCAATATCAAAGTCCATAAAACAATACAAAATAGGAGCAGAGCAAACCGGTCACACTCGCCACCTTTAAAACAACAAGGCATTTGACTCAGTGGATTGTAAAATTTTCATGCGCTGTAATTCAACAAAATCCATAAAACAATACAAAATAGGAGCAGAGCAAACACGGACCTTTAAAACAACAAGGTGGGATAAGGTGCCATGGAGGAGTGAGCATCCCCTGCAGACCGGTCACACTCGCCGTGTGCTCCTTGTCATGATCGGGAAATAACAGAAATATCTGTTAACACTTAGTATGAAAAACTTCAGTCAGCATTTGACTCAGTGATAAATTGTACAAATTCAAAGCTTATATTGTATTCAAACCTTAAGTTAATTGCTTATTTGTACAAGTATTGTATTTATTGTTTAGTGGAAATATTTATTGTTTTAGTGGGAAATTTAAGTTAAAATTTGAAATTTTCATGCGCTGTAATTCATGAACATATCAACATGATTAAAATTATTTACAATTTATTTTTATTAAAGACTTCTTTCAAAAAGGCTTTTCTTCATTTGAGGCCATATTTAAAAGAATGTTTATTTGCCCTCTACTGACTAAGGGTAAAATTATAGGGTGAGTTGAAAGGTGGAAAAATCTTATTTCCAGATAATTTTAACATATTTGTTGACGAGATAAGAGGAATTAAGAAAAATATTGTGTTCTGGTATGTAAAAAAAGGATTTGAGTTTGGCCATTTCTAATCAGCCTAGAGAGGGTAACCAAATAATTTTTCAAAGATGGTCTGATCGAGGTACTGTTGGTATAATATTTAAATAAGTGCTTCTTTTTCAACTAACTAAAGTGAAAAATGCAAAACTTCAAGAATTCATGCTTATATCATTTAACTTAAAGCTTAACTTATGAACTAAAAGATATTTGCGAGAAGTTAAGAACAATGGAAAAATTTTCAAGATATGGAATATTTATACTATCACATGGACATCAAATATTTCCACCCCTAGATAATAAAACAACACAATTTTTTGTAACATATGACTTTATATTTTTAGCTCTGACATGAATAACATCAAAACATTTAAAAACTCACTCAATCAAACTAGGTGGCTTTTTGCCACAATTTAACAGATGTAGCAGGTACATGCAGGAGTCACTTGTGAACAAATTTGGTGAAAACAAGGAAGCAAACAAACAAACTTCACACAAAGGGGGGACAATATATTGTTTTTAACCTGTTTGTGCATATGTCCTTCACAAATTTTTCCATACATTTTATATTGTGGGAATCATTTCTGATCAATTTATTATCCCATATTAACTTCCTATTTATCCATGTACCTGTCAATAATATACATGTATAACAATGATACAATTTGTCACAGTTTTCTCTGCAACTACTGATTGCAGATGCTTGGAATTTTTTGTTGAGGTATGCCATATGGTGGGATTCATTTCTGTTCACATCCAATGTCAACTTCCTGTTTATCTGTGTAACTGTCTGTTCTGTACATAACAAATTTTTGTCGCAGTTTTCTCAGCAACTACCGATTGCAGATGCTTGAAATTTTAGCACATTCTTTGCTGAGGCATGCCATATGGTGGGATTCATTTCTGTTCACATCCAATGTCAACTTCCTGTTTATCTGTATAACTGTCCGTTCTGACGTACATAATAAATTTTTGTCGAAGTTTTCTCAGCAACTACCGATTGCAGATGCTTGAAATTTTTGCACATTCTTTGCTAATGCATGCCATATGGTAGGATTCATTTCTGTTCAAATCCAATGTCAACTTCCTGTTTATCTGTGTAATTGTCTGTTTTGTACATAATAAATTTTTGTAGCAGTTTTCTCAGCAACTTCTGATTGCAGATGCTTGAAATTTTAGCACATTCTTTGCTGAGGAACGCCATATGGTGGGATTCATTTCTGTTCAAATCCAATGTCAACTTCCTGTTTATCCGTACGTCTGTCTTTAACTGAACTTTTGTCTTAAAGTCATATGGTAGTGATACATTAATAAATGCAATTTAATTATCAGGGTAAAAAATAATTATGAAATGCGTCTTAGATCAAATTTCAAGTCTTCATGCCAAAATAGTCATAACTTAAGATCTGTTCGTGCAATTCTTAATTTGACCTTGAATGGTAAAAGGGGTCAATGTCAAACATTTTCATGTAGTGCATTTAGTCTTAATTTGCTCTTCCTTGTTATAAAGTTATTACCTAGACTATATTTTTATGAAAAATATTGACCTTGCCTTTATTAATAGATCATGGTAAACAAATTTGGGATTCACCTATGCCACCTCCCCCTGTTCCAAGTTTGAAGTCTTGATGTCAAAGGGTTCTCAAGTCATGGTCAAATTATTTTTTTGGTCAAATCTATATATATAATATTTCGCAGATTAATGGACAGACAGACATCAGACAAAATGTGATCAGAAAATCAGATAAGCTCTGAGCTAAGATGATCCAAACAAGACAAAATATCATTCAAAGTCTCCTGTCTCTCAAGCGTTTGAATGGTACATATGGTCTGTGTCGATGCAGAAGTGATGCCATTCCTAGGTGACTATCCCTGTAGATATCTCTATCAGTGTTCAGTTTTCTGCAATGGAGTTTCCGTCCGTTCTGTGTGGTAAGAGCAGCTATAGCTATCAAATCAGTTGTGACCTTCTGTACGTCTGCTTTGTAAGATGGTAAATAATGGAATCCCTTTCGATTTCTTGCCTCTGAGATTTTGTCAAAATGCTTGGCAGATTCCACGAGCAGAGGAAATTCCTTAGAATGCATCATTATGCTAGCCTTTGTCTGGTAGCCAGAACATACAACCTTGCTGTCTCTGTTCAAAATTTCCACGTACTCATCAAGGGCAAGGTTATGATTCTTCCCACCTTGAATATTTATGAATCTATTGGAAATCAGGCGCTGTCTTTGCTCACTATCCAACACCTCTTTTGTCAGTGCAGTTAGATGGATGCTCCCTATCAAATATTTGATTTTGCCGGTCTTGTTGTACAACGGCAACTCGTACAGGGCCGATCTTACACTCCGGTGACCATCCCCCATGTTCACTGCAGAGTCCAAATTTTTATGAAGTAATGTTAGTTTGAATAAAGCTAGCAAATACTCATTCAGCTCGTCATCAGCTTTATGCTTTACTATTTTCTTCTTTGGAAGTGATACTTGGTGCTGATTGGCTTCGTGAATTTGTAAACTTCCCACGCATGCATATGTTTTATCGCAGTGGTGACACTGCAAGCGATCTTCAACTTTGTTTGAAACCCAATAGTTATCGGGATGATTTGGATCTGTAACAATATCACGGACATCTTTCATCATATCCTCCGCATCTTCAAAGAAGAACGTCTGCACAATAGTTTGGGCTTTGCTATTTAACCAACCAATCTTCTCATCAGTTGAATAATTTCTGAAGTCTGCTGGTAATGTGAAATCTTGTATCGAATTTAAACCTTCCAAATGTAGAAACATTGCACAGCATATGGCATCCAACACTGTATAATACAGCATTTTGTGAGGCCTGTAGGCATTTTTCACTTTTCCTTTAACATCTCGTGAATTCAGGAGATTCCGGTAATAGGACATGGTGCCTTGATCCATAGATGAATCGGTGCTGTACGTCAGTTTGTAAATGGCCTACAATATTTCTTTCATAGTCAGAGTTCTCTCAAAATAGAATAATTTAAACTTTCTTTATGAATTTGTTAAAGTAGTTTTTAACTACTAGTACATTGTATTTGAATTTGTTAAATAGGCATTTACATAGGAAAAATTATGTATTATTACATATATATGTATACTGTCTTTTAAGACTAGTATAATACAATGAAAAACAGTTTTAATAATTATTGATTGCAAAAAACCTACCTCCATAAAATTCATTAAACGATGAAAATCCTCAATCTTTGGGACCGCCTCCGAAATCTTCCATATTCATGGTACTGCCTCGGGATTTACTAATACGTTCGGTGTTCCGATGTATTTTGAGTAAACACCGACGGTTTCAAAGCCGACGCTCTGATTGGCTAAGATAAAGTTCACGTGAACATGACCCCTGGTCGGGTTATGTCAGATCTTCTTACGCAGAGTGTATACGGCGCGGATCTAAGAAGTCTGATTTTAATTAGATTGTATCAGCTCCAGCCTTTATGAGCTCTTTCACTACATTCAAATGTCCCTCTGTACATGCAGCTGTCAGAGGAGTGTCATATTTACCCTGAAGATTGATATCAGCCCGGTATAGCAGCAATTCCTTCATCACCTCAACGTATCCATTCGCACATGCAGCTACCAATGGTGTATTATATACACCCTGTGGATTAACATCTGCTTTTGCATTCAAAAGCTCTATGACTATTTCTAAATCTCCACTCTTAGAAGCAACTGTCAATGGTGTTTTGTATTTATCCGGTTTACATGTTCCCCAAGGATTGAAATTGACATTAGTTCCGAACTTGAGCAGTAACTTTACTACATCAAGATGTCTATACTTACAAGCAATAGTTAATGGCGTCTTCCATACAAATATAGGATTAACATCGGCGCCTTTTTGAAGCAATTCTCTTACCACAAACAAATTGCCACCAAGACATGCAGCTGTCAGTGGTGTAATATGTTCCTCCTCTGGTCCCTTCTCAATTAAACTCAGGTTTGTCTATATTGTGAAGAGCGCTATTAAATGGCACATTTAATATCATTTGTAGCGTGCGTTTTACATAATCAAACCATACAAGCTGCGGATTAACGTAAGCCCCCATGTCAAGCAGCTCTTTCAAAAGGCTTAAATCTCCAGATGAGCATGCGGCTGCGAGGGGAGTATCCCCCTCTCCATCGTACTTATTAACAACAGCACCAGCTTTAAGTAAATATTGTATGATACTTTTATCTTTTTCCCATACAATAGCCGCTATTATTGGTGTACTTCCATCTTTATCTTGCTGATTTACATCAGCTTTTGCTTTGAGCAGTTCTTTAAACAATATCGAATTTGCCGCACGACTTCTACATGCATTTATAAGAGGTGTACTGTTGACATCTTGTGGATTGATATCAGCCCGAGCTTTTATAAGTTCTTTGACCACATGGAGATGACCACCATAGCAGGCTGCATTCAATGGTGTATTATTTAAACCCTTAGGATTAATATTTGCTCCTGCCTGTAGCAGCTCATTTACTACAGACATATGTCCACTGCCACACGCAGCTGTTAAGGCAGTGTTATTGTTACACTGTAAATCAATGTCAGCTCCAGCCTTGATCAGAAATCTCATTATACCCAGTTCACCACTCTCACAAGCAGACATCAGAGGAGTTCTTAAACTGGTCCTTTGGTTGATAATAGCTCCAGATTGCAGCAATACTTGCACTACATTGAGATGTCCACTTCTACATGCAGATGTCAGTGGTGTATCAAATATACAATCTTGATTTATACTAGCCCCAAAATTAAGCAGCTCTTTTATAATATTGATATGTCCTCCTTTGCATGCTTCTGTCAATGGTGTTTGATCGTCAGCCTCTAAATTAACATTTGCACCCATTTTGCAAAGTTCTTTTACAACACTCAAATGTCCCCCAGCACATGCTGCTGTCAGTGCAGTATGAGTATAACCCTGTACGTTGATATCAGCCCCTCCAACCACTAACTCTTTAGCAACAGACACATAACCTAATAAACATGCTACTATCAGTGGTGTATAATGTCTACATAAGTCCCCGCTTAGATATTTTTGTGGAGCTCTATTGATTGAGATTACATTAACATGTCTCAGTAAGATTTTCTTATAGTCTCTACATCACCCCCATAACAACTGAGCATTAGTAAGCGGGTTTGCTCTACTGTTGAATTTTTTTATCTTTTGCTCACGAATCATAGATATTAAACCATCATTCCAAGAGTCTGAAACACCTGTATCGAAAATTAAGTTATTGTTAGAGTTCACAGTGGCTCCTTCTTATTCTGTCGGACTAACTCTGATGCCTACTTCAAAATCTCCGAATAGGACAGACAATGTTTCCTTGTGTTGTTCAGTTTGATCTACGATGTACTTCAAGATTTTGTGATGACCATAGTAAATGACCCAACTGACCATCCTCACATTACATGTTGATGGTTTAGAAATTATCCATCGATTATCCAAAGGCAGATCATCTATGTCTCCGTCGGACCTCATGTCCATCATTTCATCTCCTTCCTTTTCATTAGAACTTGGTTCCCTTATCGGCAATTTAGATGTGTTCTCTTGTTTAGATAGAAAGACTTGTTTTAATTCTGAGTATGATTTTGTCTCCAGCACATCGATAAATGCTTTACACAACTGGTTGTCCTTTAGAGCATTATTCATAAACACATCGTAGAGATCCATATTCTCTACATCTCTGTACAATCGCTGAGCTAACATTGGATACTGGATTGGATACTGGTTTTTAGAAACCCTTATATATAAATCTACACCTTTCTTATGTTCAGGCTTTTCATCACTGCTTGCATCAGTTGACTCCAGACTGTGGCTTTTGTCATTTGCTTCAATATTCTTCTCTTTTTCGGTTTCATATATCTGGAGTTTGACACAGTTTGCAATGTAACTACTTCTCATGTATTTTAAGATCAGCTCTGGAAACTGCGTTCCAAAATGATATGCAGTTATTTCAAAGATGGAATCGTGAATAAATGAGAATTCTCTATCACGACGTTTTGTGTATGTCCCCTCCATCGCTGACAAAGCTTTCACAAACTTAAATGTATCTGTTGAAGTCGTAACTTCACAACTTTCTAACACCCTGTGCTTCATTTCCCGAAAACAGTTATTTTTCTTATCTTTAAGAATGTCTTCAGACAAAATGTTGTTATTTAGTGTGCACAACACCAATGTCGCATAAAATAAACTGTTTAGTTGTTGCATCTTGTCAAATTCCTCGACAATGCATTGGATGGGACTGATAAAAAAGCGTTCACCGTTAGTTTTGAATTTTTCCTCGCTTGAGTATAATTTGCACAAAAGAGGAAACATTCGAGAAGATTCTGTCAGCAATGCAGGTGACAACAAATCTCTGTTTAACCCATATTTCTCAAGAATATTTCTTTGGTCTTCTTCATTCAATTCATTCTTAGAGCTATGAAGCTTAATTGTATTTTGTTCTTTAGTGAAATAGGATTTGTTGCATTGGTTAAAAAGAGTTTCTCTGCATGTTAAGAGAACCTTTGTTTTCACAAAGGACGGCTTCGTGAGGTTTTCCTTATACTCTAAAAAGGATTCTAACTTTGATTTGTTAACACCCAATACTCCTACTACATCATTAATAACAAACACCTGTGGATTATTTGGATCACGATACTGAGTGAGATCTCTAAAGTCTAGCACAGGTACCACTTCGTATCCTTCCGTCTGCAGTATCAGAGAAATGTGTTGAGCTGTGGAGGATTTACCAGAGCCCGGGACACCAACAAACGTCACATAAGGCTGCTCTCTCACCCTCTGAAGCATTTCAAGGAACCCATGAGTTTCCACAAAAACAGAATCTTCTTCTCTCCATTTCCTGATATATTCTGTCTCGTGTTGTGCTTATAAAATATAAAGATTTATAATAAAATGCATGTTCAGAGTTACTTGATCATAACTGTTTTGTGAGTATTACGCTTTCGAAATATGTGGATAATATTTTCTTCAAACAAGTTGATGAAAAGTGATGCAAACGCGTTTGAGTCCTATTCTTTACCTTTAAAATCTATCGACGACAAGAAGTTATGAAAATATCACTTAAGTTAGATGTAGGAGGTAATTTTTTTTTCTCAGCTAGATGAAAAAGAATATATTTGAAACATAAATCTAGTCCAAAAAATAGTTTCTTATTAGTGCACTTTTGCGAGAAGTCATGGAATAACATACCTTTAACATGCGAGGGGATCACGCATTGCAGTCTTTTAATGTCATCTGAAATAACAAATCAGTTACCATGAAACAACAAAATAAGTTACAGCTTCATGAATTATTCAGTATGAAAGTGTTTTCTTCCAAAAAATAGAAATAAAAGCTTGGAATAAAGAACTACTAAGTAATTATAACAATTCAAAAAAATAGAACAGCAATACTTTTGCAGAGCCTTTCAACAAAAATCATGTTATTCATTGATTGTATATTGTTTACCACCAAAATTAGAGACGTGAGCATTTTAAGATTCACTAGGTCAGTCTGTACTGTAAGATATAAACTACAGCTTAATCGTTACGCTTAAAGCTTTATCCCGGTTATAATAACAATAGTTACCTGAAAGGTTTTCAACGGTCTTTTGTAATTCGTCAATCACTAAAAGTTTGTCTATGTACTTTTTCTCCAAATCAGGATCCATTGAGCACGTTTTGATTTCGTTAACAGAATCCTGAAGAGACGTGGTTGTTCCAAGGTAACCCTCTAGGTCTACAATTATGTTACGAATATTCCTCCATTCTTGTCTAAAATCGGACTCTGCTAGGGAGAAATCATACATGAGTCCATAGTATTTGTTCCGAATTCGTCGAATCCTTTCAACATTAGCAGACACACTTCTATCTCCGGGTTCAGGTTGATTTCCCCATCCCGCTGCATGTTCTATAATGTTGCAAACGTTACGTAAAAGTAAATATAGAATCGTTACATCAAAGTCTGAATAATTTCCGCCATATTGTTTTGTAGGGGGCGGGAAAATGAGATCTGTCTATTGTTTGGAAAGAGGATTTTTTGCGTTCTGGTTCTTAAGGTGATCTATCCAGGATCTAACCGTACTTGATAAAGTAGAGGGGGGTATTTCCTTTTTCAGAATGTCCCGTAAAACATCTGTACAAGGACCCAGTAGAAGTCTGGCGACACGTGCCAGGTTTGTTGTCTCCGTTGTGGACGTGTATTTTGAAAGAGACATTGCAGCTTTTTACAATTGTACCTGGATACAAAATAGAAAACGTAAAACCTATGATGGAGACATTTTTTTCACTTTCCAATAATCTGCATCTGCACCTGGCTAGCGCAAAAACATGTAACAATATGAGTCAACGAAAACTTTAAGCTTATAAATAAAGCAAACATATGGAAATAACTAATATCATTCAAGATCAAGAGTTGACGATTGTAAAGAATTAATGAATCCTCGGACATGAACTTGTTCGTCGATAGCTTACGTTGTTTCATGAATTGTTCGTGCATAGAGAATACGTATGGATTCAACTAATGAAGAGGTAAAACATCAGAGATAGAATCCTGTGCCATGGAGAAGTGAGCATCCCCTGCCAGTCAGTCACACCAGGCGTGAACGGAAAGTGTCGGGGAAATCCTTCTTCAAATCAGTATGTAAATAATTCCTTACAATAAGAATGAGATTAAAAGTTGATTTTAAGTTGATTTACTGTTCGTTATTTCCATATGTTTAGTAAATTCTGTAGTAGACGCGAGTACAATCTATCGTTAAGGCTTATTCTGACGAAGGTTTTATTCTTGCTAATAGGTTCTATTTCAACTATTGAAGAGTTATAGTTCTTAGTGCGCTCTTTTGTGAAAAAGTCGGAGAATGTACAAATCTCGCGGAATTTTTGGGACAAACGTACATGTAAACAACACGTTGAATGTCGATGAACAAATCCTAAAAATATGGATATGAATTATTTTATTATTGTGGACTTTATCTAAATCAAGCGTAGAGATGACAGGGATTTTAATTTACAACTATTGGTGATCGTAAGTATCTATTTATCGTAATGGTACATTTAAAGTCAATATATACATCAGTGCTCGAGCTGTGATTCGCCATTGTCGCCAATTGCGAATTTTTTTCAGAAGTGGCGAAAAAAAATTCATAAGTGGCGAAATTAATTTTTTAGATGTACCATGTACAAAATTTGAGTAGTCCTGGTTAGCTCCTTTGTTTATTCAATGTATACAGATAGGTCCCTCTGTTTATTTAATGCAGCAGAGGTGTGAAAACTGAAACCTACATGTAGGAAATCACGTCTCGCTTGAACGAACACAGCTGACTAGGTAACTAGCCTTGAGCAATAAAGGGTTACAAAATTGCTTGAAATAAAATATAATTTGGATTAAATAAGGGGGGATAAAGTGTTATTAGAATATGAAGTTTATAAATAAAAGATTTTTATCAACAAAATATGGATCTATGTAGATCGTTTTTTTTAAACCGAAAGTAGGGAAACGTGACGAAAATTGTAAAGAATGGCTTCAAATTTTATCTAATGAAAATTGAAAAATGTGTACATTATACAATAAACTGAAAAAGAGTGAAAAAGAAATTGTATTGAAAACAGAATTATCTTATTAAATTACTCTGAATTATATTTATCACAGGCATTTGTTTTAAAATTGTTATGTTTAAAGCTTATGATAGTATCCATTTAAAAAAAAGAATGTTGAAAAAATACAATTAATTATTTTGTATTGATATCAGGCAACTCTTGACAGAAAATGTCCTCTTGATTATAATTTTTTTTTCGCCTGGGAAGGGGGGGGGGGGGGCTATACACCTAGTAAAAATATATGAAATTTTTAATAAAAATGGAAATTTTCATTTCATTAATTAATTGTGAAAAGAAGTAATTTAAAAAGAAGGCCCTTAATGAAAAATAGGTTAAAAATACTTTATTTTATCAACTTGGAGACTTCAGGGTTTAATATGCAAGCTCATGTAAATGTAACATAATTAAAAAAAATTAAAGAAGAGAAAGTGCATTGCATTGTCTAGAAATCAGATGTAAGTATGCCTTTCCTTTTGTCGCGAAAAGTGGCGAAAAATATTTTTGGTCCAGTGGGAGCCCTGATATACATACCTCGGAAATGTCGTATTTTTATTAATGGACGATAAAGTTAAGGTTTTCGCTCTTTTTCATATGTCTTTTAGCTCTTCTATTCTTTAGTTAGAATGAAATATGCACTTAACATTTAAAATTAGATTGATACGGACATGTTTTGTATTATCCGCAGTGCCATGCTGTCCCAGTCAGACGACCAAACGAGCCTCTAATTCTGAAGAGTTCACTAATGGAAATACAACGTATTGTTAGACCATTATTAAAATATTGTTCTTTCCGTTTGCTCCATCATGACACACGGTTGCTTAAGATGTCTTCTCCACAATGGCAGTTGATGTTCTAAGAGGCCTGTTTTGTATTGTAACAATAGATTATTGTTTATTTTCATTTAGAAACGCAACACACATGGAAACGATCGAAGTGAAGTTTTATTGTGTTCTAAATGAAATTCTGTCCATCTATTTTATAATTAATTTATTGTTGTCTGTCATTATGTCAACTTTATGTCATACTGATTTTTAGTTGTGCCATTTTTTAGAAAAAAAAAACTGAATGTCTTAAGCTTATTGTCCAAAAGCAAATGTATGAATACCATTTTAAAAATGAAATATAAAAATAATGAATCATGTTTGAAGTCATTTAAAACAATACAAACTAGAGGTACTTTGAGCGATGAGCTCAATAAATGATACCCCCGCCTCCATATAGTTATAATTACGAAAGCCCAGAAGGCTCATTCGAGATTCAAAATACGAGATTCGAAATTCGAGATTCGAAATACGAGTTTCGAGATTCAAGATCCAAACTAACCAATCAAAAGCGGATTCAACATTTGATTACTCCCCTTTATTATGTTTTTACTATCAAGAAATCGTTTAAAATAATTATAACCAATGGGTCATTTGATTAAATTACAATGCAAAAAAGAGTGTTTTATATATATTAGAAGGAAATTTAATAATTATTGGATTTTTGCAGCAAGATATACTTCAATTTATATTATAGCTTCTTAAATATTAAATAGATTACATGTATCAGGAGTATATATACTTTTGTATTATCTTCTACACTTATTTTTTTTTTTGTATTTCCGCGCATAGGAAAACCACAGGTACTTGTGGACAGGACCCCTCCCCCCCCCCCCCTTGATATTCAATACCAGGGCTTACTGGACATTTTTTTTAACAAATTATATTTATTACACTTATTAATGTGTACAATACGAAAACATCACGAGCGTAAAACCCCCAGAATAATCGTTTAACCAAAAAAAAAAAAAAAAACCCACTATACATTACCCCACCCCACTATACAAGAGAGGTGTCATTTAAGGAGAAAATGTGGGATTATTACGAGATGCAGAGTCAATCCGATAACATGGACTAAGACAGAAATATATGTAGAGATAGTTAATTTTAATCAACATTTTAAGTTAAAATAAATGCATGGTTTTATACCTAGAAATAGCAGCGGGCGTACAACGTAAACAAACTGGAGTGCTTGTGGCATATTTTCTCTCTTATAATTTATAGTGGGGTATTTTTTGTGTTGAGCGATTATTCTGGGTTTTTACGATTTTTTTGGCATTGAACACACGATGAATAAGTGTATTAGATATATGTTGTGAAAAAAAGTCCAATAAGCCCTGGGGTTGAATATCGAGGGGGGGGGTGCCCTGTCCACAAGTACATTCGGTTTTCTTATGCGGGGAAATACATAAAAATTAAGTTTAGAAGACAATACAAATATGTATATATACTCATGATATAAGAAAACAAATTAATATTTAAGAAGCTATAATATAGATTGAAGTATATCTTTCTGATCAAAAATCCAAAAATTATTAAAATTTCCTTCTAAAATATATTACACACTTTCTTGCATTGTAATATAATTAAATGACCCATTTGTTATAATTATTTTAAACGATTTCTTCATAGTAAAAACATAATAAAGGGGAGTAATCAAATGTTGAACCCACTTTTGATTGGCTAGTTTGGATCTTGAATTTCGAATCTCGAATTTCGAATCTCGAATTTCGAATCTCGTACTTTGAAACTCGCTTCTGATTGGTTAGTTTGGATCTTGAATCTCGAAACTCGAATTTCGAATCTCGAATTTCGAATCTCGTACTTTGAAACTCGAATCTCGAATGAGCCTTCTGGGCTTTCGTATATAATGGCAAAGTCCATGTTTTGCTGTGGTCGGGAAACCCAAAATAAAATATGTGTCCTATCAAAAAGTAAAATAGAAGGTGCACAATGGCAATATGTAATAAAGATTCTTTGAAAGTTTCATAAAATTTCATTCAGTGGTATGAGAGGAGTTGCGGATAAGAGATGGGTACCCCAAAGCGTAACAGACGGACGGACGGAATTAACGATTACCATATACCCTCTCGCTTTTTAAGCGGGAGGTATAATCACTGACACAGCAAACACAGACCTCTAAGATATTAGAGATTGGATCAGAGGTCAAATATTAAACATT